TCCTTTATGGTTTGAGAATATCAATGAAGAAGTTGCCAATGAAAACAATGAGACACATGAAACTTTTGGTGCTATAAACTTTGAAGTTATTGAGTTAAATGCAGAATATAATGGCTCAAGAGTGGAGAATGACAAGTACTCACAAGTTGGTAACTTCATAATATCTTTAATTTATTTTGAAGATCCTTTCTCGCACGTTCATTACAAGCCACTTCTCAAGAAAATAACTTTTGATCCACACCTTGACTATGGTATATTATATGGTGAGGTTAAGTTGTTTAGGAAGAGCAAATATGATATGTTTTCTTGATAGTCATATGTTTTTGGTCTAGCTAACCATCATCTAATGTTTAGAGAGTTTATGAATTGTGTTTTGATTGTTTGTGTTGGTAATTACATTTTCTCTTGGATGATGTTATGCTTGGATATTTGAAAGGAGTGTTTGTACATAAAAGAAATAAGTGGGCTAAATGGTTGCATGGTCACTACTCTGTGTTATTTTATTGTGATTACCATGATGGCTGTAGGTCAATATTAAGATTCAGAGACGAATCTTCTTTAAGAGGGGGGATAATGATAGCAACCATGGAATATCCGTGCCATTAAAGGACAAGGATGACGTTTTAGAAGCTCCAAGAAGGTCCACGACAAGATCTCAAATGAAGATGTTTCAAGACAAACTCAATAAGTTTCAAATAGTAATTAAAAGATGTCTTATGATGGGAGAAGAACTCTATCTCAAAGAAAATATTTTAGGAAAGTCTTACAACTATTTGGAGGCAAAAATTAAAGTCCAAAGGGAGGTGAATGGGGCCAAATCATCCCCAACAAGGAACAACTTCAGCAGCCCAAACTAGTGTTAATTTAACATAATTTCTAGAATCTTTCATTAATTCTTTCTTAGTTTAATATTGACTACATTGAACAAAGCGTGTGTAGTCTTTAATATTGACTACATTGACTAAAGTGTGGGTAGTCTTCTATGCACCTAAGAAACTTCAACTTATTTAATTTAGTTTTACCACCTTTGAAGCCTAGAATGTTCTTTTAGGGTTTTTTCTTTATGGTGACAGCCAACATATAAAAAATGAGTGTTTTCTTCTTCATTGTAACTTCAATTGAAGATTAATATTGATATTAGTAGCCTTTGGCTTTGTAGAGACTTAAAAAAGATTCTCTTTGGGGTTTGCTCTTTTTGTTCTACTTAGAACCATTACCTGGATGTCTTTAATATCAAGCTTCCCTATTTGAGTTCCCTCCCTCCTATTCTTCTTCTTCTATAACTAATTCTCTACTACTTTTACTACTAAATAAGGTTTCAAGTCTCAAATGCTTGAGCTTGTGAACTTTTTTTCAAGAACAAACCTTTCCTCTTTCCATCTTCTAGCACAAAGTCTTCCCCTATCCTTGTTGTTATCACATAATTTCAACATACCACACGAAATATATACCAACGTACCACTATTTAGCTCAAACTCATAAAGTGAACAAGGATGCCGATAATATATGAAATAACATAACAAAAGTATACAAAGATAGAGATATAACACGCGAAAATAATATCATGACTAGAAAGTATGACTACGACTAAGGCAAATAGTTCAACATAGCAAAAATAGCTCAATCATGCCTCAACAATTAAGCAAATAACCTAGACATGATTTCTAGCATGAATGATAGTTCATGTAGTCATACAAATGGAGATAAGCAAACAAGGGATATAAGGGCCTAAGATCTACCCAGAACATGAATAACCATAGTGCATGAATATACGCTTGTCACCTCACATATGCGTCGCCCTCAAATTATAACAAATTTCATAGTCAACGGAATAATTACCTTCAAATCAAGCTTAGGCAAAATACTTAATCTTATCCGGGTTAGTCTTCACCCCTAATCGCGTCAAAACCTAGATCTAGCCCTCTAATCCACAAATGCAAACCAAACATTATCCAAGGAAATCGATAATCCCATATTAAGCAATTCCAATCCATAAAGTTTCGATCTTTGAATTTTTTTCAAAAGTCAACCCAAGCCCACGTGCCCGAAATGCGAAACCAATACCAAAATTCGATGACTCATTATCTGCCAAGTCCAAATATATAATTAGTTTCCAAATTAACGGTCAGCACCCCAAAATATATTCTCTTAAAGTGTAGATAAAATCCCAAATTTTCTTCCTTAGATTCATCGATTAAATGTCAAAATTAGAGATAGAATCACGAATAATAATCAAATCTAAGTGAAGAACACTTACTAAAACCAGGGGGATGAAAATTGCCCCAATTCGATCTCTCTATCTCAAAATATGCTAAAATGAAGCTAACCCTCAAATATAATATTTTGCTAGGAATTCTAGCTCCTGCGGACTCCAGCTCGCATCTACAAGCTAGATTTTGCGACTCATTCGCTCACATTTGCGATTTCCAATAGCACAAGCCCCCATCGCATATGAGGCCTTTCAGTCGCATCTGCAACATCGCAGGTGTGGCTCCACAAGTGTAGAAGCATAATTCTTTAGTCCAACCAAGCTCAGCTGGTGCACATGCATCCGCAAGTGCGACTTCGCACTTACTTTTGTAGAAGCGTCCAACCCCTGGCCTCACCATCTTCGCATCTACAAGCACCTCACGCACAGGTGCAACCTCACATTTGCGACTAATGCTCCGCAGATACGGTACACCAGCACCATCAATGAAATCGAATCTCACAGTGGTCTGAAACCACCCCAAAACTCATCCGAAGCACACGAAATCACATCCGATAATACCAACAAGTTCAAATATACCACATAAACCTATCCATAATCTCTAAACACAATAATTAATATCAAAACCAAGAATCGTCGATCAAGATCAATCTTTTAAGTTCATAAACTTCAAACCAAGTGTCCGATTCAAGCGAAACTAATCCGGAGTGAGCCCAAACTTTGCGAAAAAATCCTAAATGACAAAATAGACCTATTCCAATTTCCGAAATAACAATCTGCCCCCGATAGTCTCGAAGTCAACTCCTAGTCAAACTTATGAATTTTTCAATCCTTCAAATTTCTAACTTTCACAATTAGAGCCAATCAACCTAGGACCCTCCAAATCCAAATCCGAATATATAACTAAGCTCAACGTCACCATACGGATCTATTGGAACCATCAAAATATGAATCCGAGGTTGTTTACTCAAAAGTCAAACCTTGATCGATTCTTCCAACTAAAAGCTTCCAAATTGAGAATTACTCTCCCAAATCAACTCCAAACCTCTTAAAAATCAAAACCAACCATATACGTGAGTCATAATGCATAATGTGAAGCTAATCAAGGTCTCAAACTGCCGAACCAAGTGCTAAAGCTCAAAAGGATCGGTCGAGTCGTTACATCTTTTTCTTCACCAAGAATACCATAATTCTTCAATATTAAAAGCTTTAAATTCTTGTTTAGGGGTAGAAACTGGAAGTTAATGATTGATTATTATTAAAATTATTTGCACCTTGATAATTTATGCTTAAATTTTTAGTGGCAATACTGATTTAGTGATTTACTTTAAAACTCCATTATCGGTCCTTAAAAAATATTAAAAAAGATAAAGTGAGTCTTCTTGATTTGGTGTTATCTGATTAAATTGGTGATTAGAATCGCTTGCATTGGTATTCGGAGGTCTTGTTTCAAACTTGAGATTATTTGGAGGTTTGATCAAAATTAGAGTTGCAACTTCGAAGAACACTATGTTGAACAACACGGAAAAATTATGTCAATTGGGTAAACTGTGATGAATAATTTAATTGATAGGTTAATTACAAATAACATAAAGTCATGTCAACCTGGTAAAGTTTGGTGAATAATTGAACAAGCACAAAATCATGCTAACATGGTAGAGTTTGTGAACAATCTAATAAATAGGTTGAATGCAGTTAATACAAAGTCATGCCAAAACAATCACAAACATTACTAAAAATAGGACAAAAATCGATTGCCAAAACAGACTAATGTTGGTTGGTAATTGGCAAAAATCGATTGATTCATAACAGTCTATAATCGTGCGGTAGATACAACCAACCTACCGATTTTGGCTGATCAATTAAATTCCACAGCTGACAAAAAAAGAATCGACCGAAAAAACTAACTGACTTTGGTCAGTTTTAACCTACCAAAATTGGTCAGTTTTTTAAATTATTAATTAAAAGATGCATCATTTGAGAATCAAATCGGGGTCGGTACTATAGTATGATAATATTATACCACTAGACCATTGGTGTTTTTTTGTTTAAAACTTTCTTTTATTTTATTATTTTATTTAATTGTATTTTTGTGCAAAAATAACCTCTCGATTTCCATCGGTTTTGTTAAAAAAATAAAATTACAGAGCAAAATCAGTCGTTTTTTAAAATAACCGACTTGTTTTGATCGATTTTTTGAATATTAATTTTAGTTTAGTTTAAATGAAAAATCGATCAAAGTTGATCGATTTCTTGAAAATAAATTTTCCGCGATGCAAAAATAACTTCCTTTATTTTGGCGCCAAAAAACTTGACCAAATTCGGTGGGTTTTGTAAAAAAAATTAAAACAAAAAATATTCTGGAAAATCGACTAACATCGTTCAGTTTTTCGGTCTGTGTTTTGACCTATCAAAATAAATCGGTCGGCCTCGTTCGATTTTGGCCGAATTTCTAGTAGTGAAAGTCATGCCAACTAGACAAAATTTATGAATAATTAATAATATAGATAGAGTAAATATTACATAAAATCCATCAATCCGGTAAAAATTCCTTGACAAGCAATATGTGTGTGGGGGACCGAGGTCATTTTCTAAATACTTAAGAAAAAATGAAAATAATATTTAAAGACCAGCTTTTATAGGACTATTTCTGTCAATCACCCAATAAACACCTAGTGGGATTTTATCAAATTACAACTTTATGGCTAAATTTGAAACCCTAGTGAGTAGGGCTTCTAATCGACTTGGTGGGCTCGTAACCCGCCAAACCCAAACCACACTATTAGGCAACAGAGAGTCTAGGCAATAGAGTCTACTGAGCTCTGAACTCTGCTGAACTATATAAAAAAGGGCGCGGTTGAATTAGCAGGAAGTAAAAGGCAGACAAACAGAGGCATTGACAACAGGCATGGGAAGTGAAGAAGAGAGCACAGTGAAAGAGCCGTTAGATCTCATCAGACTCAGCCTTGATGAAAGAATCTACGTCAAACTCCGTTCAGACCGAGAACTCCGTGGCAAACTTCACGTATTTTTACACCTGCCGTTTCCTTTATTTCTTTTATCTTTTGTTCTTTTCGAAGATAAATTCTCTCTAACTTACAAAAATTGAATGTTATGTGATGGTAATTTGTCTGCTTTTACCAAACGTCTTACTGGCATACTGTAGACGTTTAGCCCTTTCCCTTTTTCCTTCTTTTAATTCCTGGATTAGGGTTTAGGCCACATTGCTATTTTTTCTTTCAATATAATTTTTTGTTTTTTAGAATTTTATTTTTGGTTGCTTAAACTTCTTCCTTTTTCCCTGTATCCACCTTTTTTCTTTATAACTGTAGTATCTGACCAGCTTTCGTGCACCTCGACTAATTTTATTTATAACTGTAGTATCCGACCAGCTTACGTTGGGATACCTGCTACCTCCCACTAGCAACAGGTATCAGCTAAGTTTACCCACCAAGGCTGGGATACATGGGAAGAAATCGCCTGTGTTTTTGTCTCCACTGATTTGAACGTGAGATCTCAGGTTCTCAACCCACTTCAATGACAACTAGGCCACACCCTTGGGTGCCTATATCGGCTTTGCAAAGGGGCGGGAGGGTGTGGTTGATTCTTTTTAGTATTATGCAGTTGGAAACTATTTGGGGACAATTATGTGCTACTGCTTATAGAATTTCTTTGTGAAGCATAAATATACTATGGTTTTTGGGTAGCCTTAGTATTAACCAGAAAGAAAAGAATATTTCTCTGCAGTCTTCTCTAAATGTTGACATCTAATTAGTAATTAATAAGTAAAATAACTCCAAAGCGATTTCCATCTAGCTTCTCCAATGGTGTTAATGAATAATTTGATCCTAGCACATGACATGTTTTGCAAATAATTGGGCGGGGTAGCCCCACATGGGGCTGGTCTTAGCGGTATGTCCCCGTAATTGGTGGTATTTAATAAATGGCCCCCGTGTCCTTTCCTTTGTGTAGGCTTCAGCCTAGATCTACCGACACAGCAGGATTTTGTACCAAATGCTATATCGTAATATAAAATTTATAATTTTTTTTACCATTTTGTCATACTGTTGTGTACCAAATTGCATTTTCGAAAAATACTTTGTTGAACAACATAAATTATGACTATCATATAGATTTTGATGAACTATTTAATAGATAGGTCGATTGCATATAACACCATATCATGCCAGTCTGGTAGACTTTGATGAATAATTAAACAAGCACAAAATTATGCCAATTGGGTAGAGTTGTGAACAATATAACAAATAGGTGAAATGCAGATAACACAAAGTCTTGCCAATCTTGTAGAATTTGGTGAACAATTAAACAAGGACAAAATCATGCCAACGGGTTACACTTTGATGAACAATTTAATAGATAGGTAGAGTAGATATAACATAAACTCTACCAATCTGGTAGAGAATTCCTGAAGAGCAATATTTGTGTGCCCCGGTCCGAGGCTATTTTTTGAATACAACCAATTACGGGGGCATTCGGCTAAGACCATCCCCTTATGTGGACATTCCTGTCATTCACCCCATGTTTTGTTGGTCCAAAAGTCCTTTGATTTTGATTTCTCAGTATCTTGAAAGTAAATAAAATGTGTGAAGATAGAAGTAATTAGAAAGATAGAGACAGAATAGGACAAAGTCTTTTTAGAAAAATAGCAACTAAGAGCTAAAATAACTCACATGAATACAAAAGAGCCGAGCAGGAGGGCCAAACCAAAAAGACCAGCAAGATTTTCAACAAAGAACGATGACAGAATAGCAAAGTGAACCAACAATGACATCTGAATGATGTTACTGCAAAATATTGGATATTGTTTTGATTTTGAATGACCATTATGGAATAGCAAATGGTTCTACAGCTCTTCATAGTTTTGTTAATTTCAATAAAAGAACAATATTCAAAAGTCCACTTGGAATTAAATGCATACAGAAATTAAAGTATATTTTTTACTTGTGCTTTTACCTAGAAATCTATAATGAGGCAATATTTCTGCAGTGACACTAAGCTTTCATATCGTTTTCTTTGCAGGCTTATGATCAGCATCTTAATATGATTCTTGGTGATGTTGAAGAAATTGTGACCACAATTGAGATTGATGATGAAACATATGAGGAAATAGTTCGGGTACACGCTCTCTCTTCCGCTTTTGGTTTCTGATATATGCCTTTTTCTTTTATTGGTCAATGCACCACATGTTTCTATTTAAGATCTTTGTAATCAATTTGACTCACACTTGTAAAAGTGTTCGGCATTTTAAGATAATTATCAGAAAATCTGATAAATTGACTTGGAAAGTTAGTTGTCCAATGTAATAATAACAACTACTACGTCTCAATCCCAAGCTAGTTGGTGTCTACTATATGAATCCCACTGTGCATGTTGCTCCATTTAGGTTTTTGGCATCCAATATCTCACAATTTAGGTTTTCTATCACTAGAAGCTCTCTACATTTCCAATGGCATACGAATCCTTAATAAAATTGGAAGACTCCTAGAGTATATTGGACATAGAGTAAGCATACCTACATGACTAAAACTAATTTAAACTACTCCTCCATCTCATTTTATGTGAAGGTATTGCTATTTGGGGAAATTAAACAGTTTTTTCTTTGACTACAATTTTCTCAAACTTTTTCTCTTAACATATTTTTAATCATTATTTATGTTGATTTGTAGTAATTTTTATGTAGTTTGCAGATATGTAATTTTTTTAAAAAAAATATAAAGAATCTATGCACAAATTCACATCGTATATCAAGTGTTTTGACCCTTGCACTCCAAACCCTTAACATAAAGTAATTAGTATCACTATTATGAATCTTTTTCCTTCTATTGTGTGCTATTTTTTGCTTAGTATGTATGCAGTCCAATAATTTGTAGATCCTTTGAGTCAATTTCATTCCATATGATTTTAGATCAGTTTGTATCCTTGTAACACCTTCTATCAACACGGGTTCACACTTGCAGATGGGTGCATCTGGAGGTTGACTAGGACATGACCCTACTATCTCAAGCGAGCCTTCTTTCATTTTCTCCTTTATTGTAGTACTTTACCTTTTGCTAGATATGATAATTTCTATCATGCATAACTACATATCCATCTTAACATTCGCTTTCTACGACACTCATCTCGTGGATATGTTGCACCTGAGATGCCTAATATTCCTTGTGAAATTACCGGTTTTACAATATTCTACTGAATTTGCGTTTCATTTTGGTAGGTATCCTCCTATCGCATATCTTTCTGATTGCACTTCTCCATTTTCAACCAGTCTATTTTGGTTATGTGTTACATCTTTGTCTATCTACTATCCTTTTGTAACCTCGAGCTAAATATTAGAATTGTTTGCATTCGTCCAATGTCATCAATAATTTATGTACATAATTCCAATTCCAATATTTAGTTTGCGGCAAGGTTCAAAAGTATCACATGGTTCGAAACTTGGTGGATGACGAGCCCGCCCCTCTACCCTTCTCCACTTAAAGACAAGGTTTTGTTTGCGGCAAGGTTCAAAAGTTCATGTGCGCCTGACCTACACATCACGTGATGATCTCTTCCCACCGAAAAATTCCTAAGGGCCAGTATCACATGGTTCGAAACTTGGTGGATGACGGGCCCGCCTCTCTACCCTTCTCCACTTAAAGACCAAGGTTTTGTTTGCGGTAGGGTTCAAAAGTTCATGTGCGCTTGACCTACACATCACGTGTTGGTCTCTTCCCACTAGACCAAAGTCCCGAGAGCGGTTTGTTTTCTGCCACTATTCTTTCTCGTTATAGTCAATTATATTTGTTTATTAGAATCATTTCTTCAATATTACTAGAGTTTGCGTTATCTTTTTGACGTCTTGTGGAAGATAATTTTCAAATATCTATTAGTATACAATCATTATCTATTAGGTAGTTTCTGTAGATGGAAGTATCTTTTTTAGAATAGTATAACAATTAAGTATTTGGTAAATGTCATATTAGTTTTTAAAGAGGGAGTTATAAGGGATTTTAATGTGTTGTTGTAGGAGTACCAAATGGATAATTCAGTGTCTGAACAGAGAGATTGTTGTACGAGTAATTGCTTTAGTTCTTGAATCTAAAGGAAAATGTAGGAAGTTCCAGTGGGGTCACCACCGGTGCACAACAGCTAGCATATTCTGGTGTATTTGATTCCCTTAGGCCCTCAAGTATGGACACATGGATATGAGTGTTGAACATTGGTGCGATGCAACTGAGAATGAAGTTTATACCATATATTGATTTATCAAGGGTGATCAATGAACTATTTAGTGAAAATGTTTGTAGCACAATGTCTCTAGCATATTTGTTTTCGATTGCCGTAAAGTTAAGCCACCCCCCCTCCCCTTTTTTTGTGAGGATGATAAGCCATCCTCTTTTCTTCTCTGTTTAATCTTCTCCGGTGGTGGTGCTTCTATATTTTTGGCATTTGATCATGTTTGGAAAAGTCAAACCTGATATACAGTGGCTGTATTTGAAAGTGTCTCATACTTGCGTTTATGTCATGTTGCTAAAGGGTACACAACCAATTGGTGGTTCCATCTAAGTTCTAAGGCCGTCCTTGGTCTGTTTGTGTCCTTGAACAACACATGGTTATTTGGAGAAGGGTTATTGACAGTAGTGGTGGTCGCTTGAATTGTGGATGGCTGAGTCAGATTAAAGGGTGAGGGATGGGAGTCGGCGAATGGGATGGACAATATACGGGAGATGGACAAGATATGGGAGCCAATACTCTTTTTTGTTAGTTTTGCTGCAAGGCGAATGGGATAGCATACACCAAGCATCAGGTAATTGGCAAGAGATGAGGAGCTAATTCAATTGCTTGAGCTAGGTAAAGTATGTTTAATAAGGAGCAATCACAAACAAATGGAATTTTTACTTAAAATGAATTTAACAGAACATGTGTTCTCATTTCTCGATCCTTATTGTGAGAAGCGTACTTTCCTCATTAGCATAAGTAATTTTGTTTTCCTGAGTAAGTTTTCCTGAGTCAAGAGCATCAAGGACGAGGATGGCAAAGTGTTGATGGACGAGGCACTTATTAGGAGAAGATGGCAGTCATATTTCCATAAACTATTGAATGAGGAGGGGGATGGACAGATTGTATTGGGTGAGTTGGAGCACTCTAAGAGTCAGCGGGATTTTGGGTACTGTAGGCGGATTACGGTAGAGGAGGTGGAAGGGGCGATGCGTAAGATGTGCAGGGGCAGAGCGATGGTGCCAGACGAAATCCCGGTGGAATTCTGGAAGAGCGCGGGGCGGGCTGGTTTGGAGTGGCTCACTGGGTTGTTTAATGTTATTTTTAAGACAAAGAAGATGCCCGAAGAATGGAGGTGGAGTACGATGGTTCCGCTTTACAAGAACAAGAGTGATATCCAAAATTGCAACAATTATAGGGTATCAAGTTGTTGAGTCACACTATGAAGGTTTGGGAGAGGGTGGTGGAGGCCAGGGTGAGGAGGTGCGTGTCTATTTCCGAGAATCAGTTTGGATTCATGTCAGGGTGTTCGACTACAGAAGCGATTCATCTAGTAAGGAGATTAGTGGAGCAGTACAGAGAGAGGAAGAAGGATTTGCATATGGTGTTTATTGACCTTGAGAAAGCATATGATAAAGTCCCGAGGGAGGTCCTCTGGAGGTGTTTGGAGGTTAGCGGCGTTTCGGTAGCGTACATTAGGCCAGGCCCACTTAGGCCCCCCCCACATACATATATATATATGTGGGCCTAAGTGGGCTTGGCCTATTTTTTATCTAAGGTAATTTCTTGTAAATTATATATATATATATATACACTTCAAATTAAAGTTAAATGCTTTCAACATAATATTTCAAATTAATTTAACAAACTAAAACATTAAGCATAATACGTCTAATAATTTTAAAATAACACAAATTATCTCAAATCAACTTAAAATCTTAAATACGAATGTCTGGAGAACGTGCAAGACAACTCTTTATATGCCTTCTTAAACAGCCTATGCCCTCCAACTTTGGACGATGAGTGTAGACTCAACCACAGTTCTTGCACTTTATTATGTAAACTTCTTCATTTTCTTCTACCACATTGAAGTGTTCCAAAACAAAGAGGTGCAATCTAGAATCACCGGGCATGATTTAACTTGAATTAAGAATTTGAGTTTGAGAAATGAGAGATGAGCAAAAACTTGAATACTTCAATTTGAGTTTGAGAAATGAGAGAGATTGATGATTTTGTGAGAAAAATGAAAGAATGAGGGGTATTTATAGTTGAAAATAGGGAAAAAGTGTAATTATAAAAAGTTTTGGGTTAAAACAAAGTTGGGGGAGGGTTAAATGACTATTTTAGAAAGCCCAAACGTCTATTTTTGCAGGCCAACGACCATTTTTCAAATGTTGCAACGGCTAATTTTTTTTTGGATTTTTGGATTTTTTTTAAAAAATTAGCCGTTGGGCCCGTTTAGGACCGGTTGAACGGCCCACTTAGGACCTGGTCCCGGGCCCTAACGGTCCCGGTCCTAACGGGCTTCTTCAATGAACCGGGCCACTTGGGCCTCAAGCCCCTGGTCCCGGGCTTAAACGGGTAGGCCCGTTTAGGCCCACTACCCATATGGCTTGCGGGCCTAGGCCGGGCCTAACCAGCCCACTTGCCACCCTTACTTAAGGGTAAGTTTTATCGAGTGGTGGTTCGACCGGCTATGCTGTATGGGGCTGAGTATTGGCCAGTCAAGAACTCCCACTTGCAGAAGATGAGGGTAGCAGAAATGAGGATGTTGAGATAGATGTGTGGGTGTACCAGGAGAGATAAGATTAAGAATGAAGCTATCTTGGACAGAGTGGGAGTAGCCCTCGTGGAGGACAAGATGCGGGAGTCGAGGCTGAGATGGTTCGGACATGTTAAGAGAAGAAGCATTGATACTCCTGTCAGGAGGTGTGAGAGGTTGGCCATGGAGAGTTTGAGAAGAGGTCGAGGTAGGCCTAAGAAGTACTGGGGAGAGGTGATTAGATAGGACATGACGCTGCTTCAGCTCACTGAGGACATGACCTTTGATAGGAGGGTGTGGAGGTTGAGGATTAAGGTAGAAGGTTAGTAGCTAGTTTATAGTTGTTCATCGATAGTCTTAGTAGCATGCATATCCCTTCATATTCTTAGATTTCTATCACGTTATGTGGTTTTGTTTGTCTCAGGTATTGTATTCCTTGCTGCTATTATTTGGTACTATTTATCCTTTATCTCTCCCATTTTCTTTTCTCTTCCTTCTTTCTTCCTTCCTTGCTTTCCTCTTCTTCTTCTTGCCCTTCCTGACCCGAGAGTCTATTGGAAACAATCTCTCTACTTGCATTAAGTAGGGGTAAGGTCTGCGTACAGACTACCCTCCCTAGACCCCACTTGTTTGGATCAAACTGGGTTTATTGTTGTTGTTGTTCTAAGTTTTCCTCTTAGATGAAACACAACTACCAGGAAAATCGTCTTTTGTTTTGAACGAAATGATGCCATGGAACTCTATAATCCTGAAATAATGGTATATATAGGAACTCAATAATGTACTGTTTTCCAGTTTTATCTGATTGACAAATCAATGCATTCTCCCGTCATTGCACATGCTTGATTCAGCTATTTTAGTTCCAAGGAAAGCCTTAACATCTATTTTTCCGGGGATAAGCTTAACCATGGAAATGAGCAAATCATCTGTCATGTTTGGCAGAATGTCTTAAATTTCATTTTGCATCTGTATGATGCAAACATACTATTTGCTTATGAACATTAATTGGGCTCAATATTTTTCCGCCTTTTCTGCACTAACGGTATATAATCTTCTAACATAGTTACTTGTGCTTATTACAGACTACAAGACGGACCATCCCTTTCCTATTTGTTCGTGGGGATGGTGTAATACTGGTGTCTCCTCCTCTGCGGACTGCCTGATCAATAGAGAAGATGTTCTCATCATAAACCTGTGCAAGCATCCTATATTTTGTTTAAGGTGCTGCAGTAAAATTTAAAATAACTCAGATTATTGAGGGAATATTATCTGTATAACAATCTCATTTTGGAGCAACACGTCTCTAGGTTTCTGCGTGCCCATTCTTGTGCATGGACCATGCTAGCGTTCTCTATATTGTTCCAATTCTATCGGATGTCCGAAAGGGATTGGGCAACATGCTTTATCCGCTTGTGACTTTTAAAATGAGGTGTGAAGGGAATATTAATCCTAAGGACCTCCGACACAAGCAAATTAGGTTTGGTGAAGAATCCATATAGTTTGTTTGGCCAAGCTTCTCCAAGGCGAAAATCACTTTTTTTTTTAATTTTTATTTTTATTTTTTTATAAGTTGAAGTGTTTGGCTAAGCTTTTAGAAAAAAAAAGTGCTTTTGAGTAGAAGTAGAAGCAATTTTTGAGAAGCAGAAAAAAATAGTTTCTTCCTAAGAGCAATTTTTTGAAAAACATGCTTGAGAAAAATATACTTAGAAGCACTTTTTAGAAACTTGGAAATATGCTGTAATTATTGCTCTAAAGTGTTTTTCAAATTAATTAGTCAAACATAAAATGCTTTTCATCAAAGTGCTTTTAAAAAAAATACTTTTGAGAAAAACAGTTACGAGAATAAGTTGATTTTAAAAGCTTGGTCAAATAGGCTAATATAGCGTATTTCTCTCCATTCCGTCAAGTGGTGGAGGAACAGTTGTTTGTTTATGATGGAGTCCTAACATTGATTTATTTTACTTTTTCGCGGCATTTTCATACATACGCACTTTTTGGGCCACCATTGAAGTTATACTCACATTGCACAAAATTTTTAATGTGTACCCTCTCGTATTTGAAGTAGTTCAATCTTTTCGATGTAACTTCAAAAATCAAATCTGAAAGTTTTTTTATCTTTCAAATGCAACTTAAGAAATTCGAATATGAAGTAATTGAATCTCTTCGATGCCAACTTCAGAGATAAAATCTACAATTCTTCTATCTTTCAAATGTAACATTAGAAATTCGAACCTTAAGTAGTTCAAATCTATTGAATGCAACTTCAGATTTCGAATCTTAATTTCTAAAATATAAATTTATTTTTCGAATTTCAACAAACTAATACATGATTCAATGCCCAAATCTACTCCGAGTGAGCTCAAATTTGAAACATAACTTTTAAATATCATAAAGAAGAAATCTCAATCATTATTGTCAAACAACAACAAATTGAACAAATCCATTTTGCAACTAAGAAGAACAAGAATAAATTCTAGGCACAAAGAAGAAGACAACAACAGTAAAGAAGGAGAAAAATATAGGTATATGAAGTTATCCAAAAATTAAATATCTATTAAACTATTTTTAAAAAGCGAGTACAAATCCAATGGATGGCGCAGAATTGGGCGCCACATGAAAATTTTACTACTTTTCCATGTTCCATACTTTTGTTAGAGGGTTATTAATTCGTTAAGAGGTTTTGCAGAACTGCTTTTATTTGGTATTTTCGCTCTAAATTGAATATTTTGTCATTAAAAGAAGAAGTTTATTATTTTGTATTATTTTCATTTTTTACTCGAATAAAGTAACAAAAAATTGGATGTATTTAATTGAATAAAAATGATGATAGAAAATAATTGCTACTGGACGCGTTTGATAATACGAGGAAGAATTCCTGGCAATTATTATTTTTTTAAACAAAGAAAGAGGGAAAAAACCTCATCCAACTCAATCTCTACGTAGAAATTTGTTTAATCATAGAATGTTTATGTATTTATATTTTATATACACAATTGGAGGTCCAACTTGTCATATTGTTTTAACATAATTAAATTCAAATCTATGATTGACTTAAATTATTACTAACACTAACACCTAAAATTTTAAGTAAGGTTTTAATTTAAGTTTGCAGGAATTTCTTACCAAAGCTAGAAACTTAAATTAGAGCTAAAATTAGAAACTTTAAATAACATTTTACTTCAGGGATAATTGTAGAAACCTCTCTCCAACTTAAAATTTAAAAAGATTGTTTTCTAGCTTGAAGTTTCAGAGCTTGAAAAGATTGGTTTAGGGATAATTTCAGAGCATAATATTTGAAAAGAAAGCTTACTTTTTCTTCTTCATTTTTTATGTCTGCATATATTATGATATAATAAACATTGTTTCTAATATTCTCCTTTCCGAAATTCAACATTATAATTTGGGAGAATCTAATACCCTATTTGTTTAAAAAAAGATTGGCAGTGTTTCCTTATTAATCTGTTTCAAAATGATTGGCTCATTTCAATTTTCCTTAATAGGAAGTATTTATAGTCACACTAATGATATAACACGACCCGAAGTTGCGGTCTGAACCTGATCTCAAGCCCTGCAGACTGGCTTACGCCCACAACACAGAAAACACATCTCACACCTCATCCACGATATCGCAGGCCGTCATTGCCAAGCTGATACCGAATGCTCAACATCACGTACGAAGTGGATGGAAGGAAATCAATGATACACGCTTCACACTGAATCATGACTTATGACAAAGAAAGATGGGAAGTTTTTCCTAGATTCCCTGTAGCTTCTCGAAGGTAGGTATGGACGTCATCATACCGATTTGCAAGAATCTACTAGATACGTCATCATACTGATTCGCGAGAATCTACTAGACACTTGCTCTAACTCGTAGAAACTATGAACTTAGAGTTGTGATACCAATTTGTCACGATCCAAAAATTTACCTAGTCGTGAGGGTACCTAATCCAACCCTAGGTAAGCCAAACAATAGTTAACACAACTCAAATGAAAATAATAAGAATCAATAAGTGAAATAACTAAATTTCTAAATAATAACCAACGGTTTGGTAGTACAAATTAGGAGCCACTAAGATTTAGATTTACAAAGCTGGTATGAATAAATATAACATCTATTTGGAATATACATAAATTAAATTCAAATCTAAAACTACCAAGGACAAGTGGTAGCTATATCCGAAAAGCAAGTACAACTTCAATACCAGCTCCCGCCATACACAACAATATTAACTCCAAGATCTGCACGCAAGGTGAAAAAGTGTAGTATGAGTGCAACCGACACCATGTACTTAAGAAGTAACAGACCTAATCTCGGACTAAAAGTAGTGACGAGCTCAGAAGAAAGTCAGTGTCCAACACCAATGATCAATAACAACACATTATATAAAGATGATAGTAGAATAAAACAATTCAAGAGATATCTTGTTCAACTCGTTCCCAAATATGAAAAAATTAGGCATGCTTTTCAAGTGTAACAGTCAGAGCCCAATCTTTCTTCCAAATCACTAGAATATGAGTTTAACAAGGTAACTATGATTTTCCAATCTTTCAACAACAGATAAGACATTTCATTACCATCTAGCATGAGGAAAAATATATCTTTATGCCTACTTGTCAAATATACATGTCTAGTCAATAACATCACAATAAAACCATCAAGTATACTCACACTTAACATACTCACGCCCTGGCACAAATGCTCCTTACCATCGCACACACAACCACACTCAACACTGTATGAGTGCCTGGCACAAATGCTCCCTCACCAGAGCACATATATATCACTATGCCCGCGCTCACTGTAATATCAGACTCCGAAAGGGTGGATCCTTGCCCAAGCGCTAATAAATAATCAATATAATCATTGCGGTGTGCAGTCCGATCCAAATATTAATCCGTTTCGGCGTACAACCCGATCCAAATTTCAATAAAATACGACGTGCAACTCGATCCAAATATCATTGCGGCGTGCAACCTGATCCAAATATAAATCACAATACAGTTCTATGGCTTACATCAATCATCAACCGCTCAAGTCTCAATGACTCATGTCTCACAGAACTCAGCCCAAACGATATTACATATAAAAAGTATCAACGACATGTGATATGACATATGAATAATGCACAGAGATCGAGATATAACATGCAGATGAAAAATTATGACTGAGAATATGACTACCGCTCAAGCCTCAATTAACCACATCCTACGGTACTCAGTTCAATAGTGTTACTCATATGAGGCATCAACAACAAGTAAGAAATCATAATAAGAATGCACTAAGACATAGATATCATACATAAATATAGCATCATGGCTAAGAGTATATCTACAATGAAGGCAAACAGCTCAAAATAGCAAGAATAGCCCTATCATGTCTGAAACAAATAAGCATATAGCCTAGACATGATTTCTAAAATAAATCATAGCTCAAATAGTCTTAAATGTAGATAAAACACGGATGTAACGAGGTATGATACAAGACAAGTCTCATAGTAGCCTAAAGACTACCCAAATCATGAATGCCCCGGTATATGCACACACGCCCCTCACCTATCAGGTGTGTCACCCCAACACATCTCAAGTATTATAGTCCACTGTGATAATTACCCTCAAACCATGTTTAGATATGTTCCTTATCTCGAACAAGCCAAAAGAATACTCCGGAAACTCCATTCTGTGAGAAACGACCTCTTAATGGCCGGAATCTAGTCAAAAGCAACATCAAATAATGTCATAGGAATCAAACCCAAACGATAAAGGTTGAATCTTTAATCAAATACTCAAAGGCAACAAAAATATCAACCCAAGCCCACACTTCGGAACCCAACAAAACTCACAAATTCTGACAACTCACTTGAATACGAGTCCAACCATACTAGTTTCATCCAAATCCGACTCCGAATCGATGTTCAAAACTCAATTACACACTTTAGAAAAGTTTTTGACAAAAGTCCCAAATTCCTCTTTTAGATTCATCAATCAAATGCCAAAATCGAAGATGAAATCATGTAAAATAATTAAATTCGAGTAAAAAATACTGACCCCAATCCAAATCGTAAAAATTCCCTCCAAAATTACCAAATCCGAGCTCCCAATCTCAAAATGTGATAAAATGAGCTCAATTCGAAATTAACAACTTATATGCACTACCCAAGTAAACCCTTCGCGATCGCGGGACCAGCATCGCGATTGCGACGAACAAAGCTTTACTGCCCCTGAGAACACTCTTCGCGTTTGTGGCTCCACCCTTGTAAACGCTATGAACAAAGATGCCCCACCTCTGCGAACGTGGAAATGACCTCACAAACGCAAAGGCAACGCCAGCAGCTCCAAGCTCCTAAATGCGAA